TCCCCCTCCTCCTCCTCCTCCTCCTCCTCCTCCTCCTCCTCCTCCTCCTCCTCCTCCTCCTCCTCCGACTCGGTTCTTGGAGGCCCCCAGGCCCAGCCACGGCCTGCAGAGGCCGAAGATATGGGACAGCTCCATCGTGCTTCTGTCGAAGCGCTGGATCTGTTTGGAGGCCCCGGGCCCAGCCAAGGCCTCCCGAGGCCGAACATCTGAGACGCCTCCATCGTGCTCGTGTCAGCGCGCCGGATCACTACGTGGCGCCGCCGCGCCACGACGGGGAGGAGTCCAGCGTCGCTCCAAGCGATCCGCGCGCCGACCCGAGCTCTTGTGTGTGTCCGCGGCGCACCTGCTCCTGCACATCCACTTCGGTACCGCCTGCACCCCTGGGCTTCGCCCACTCCGGCCGCCTGAGGCCCCGCCTCCCTGTGCCCTGTCTCCCTAATTAAAGCTGTGCGTAGCCCGCCTAGCTTTTAGCGGAAGAGGTTCGCTCTCGCCCCGCAGATCAAAAATGTGTGCGCCCTCGTCCGTTCCCCGATATGAGCTGTCGCCGAACGAGGTGGACCGCTTCCCAGCGAGGGATCAAAATCCGAATCCGCCTTCCCAGCCGCATCACAGAGACCTCGGATCCCGTCGAGATCGCAGGAGCCGAACTGCTCGAGGGCCCCGATCGAACCGCCCTGGGCAATCGTGGGCTCCGCCGGGGGCCCCGTGGGGATCCTCCGAGGGGCCGCTGGCTGCTCCATGATCTCCCGCTGCTCCCTCGCCCTCCCCGGTGCCAGGCGCTGGCACGGGAGCGCGCTGCCCGGCTGGAGGCGGAGGCGCAGACGGCGGAGCTGCTCTCGCGCGCGGCGCGCACCCGCCGGCTCGAGGCCCCGCCGCCTCTCCCGCCGAGGGGCGGGGGCGGGTGCTCGCTCGCTTGTGGGCTGGTCTGCTCGCGCGCTACGGATCCCAGATCCTCCCTCGCGGCCATGCCTCCTTGTAGGCGCTGTCCCGTGCCGACAGTGCTTGGGCGCCCGCGACGCGCTCCTGCAACACACCGAGGGGCAGGCGGGCGTGGCGCAGGACTGTAGAGTAGTAGTGGTGCACACAATCGTAAGCACGTCAGCGGCGACGGGTTTCCCCCGAATCCTGAGAAAGGTACAGTCAATGCGCACAATCAGGACGCACGATAAGGACGCAAGAGCCTTGGGAGGCCACGTCGACACTTTGCGGGCGGGGCGTGGCCAGCGAAAGCGGCCAGGGATGAGGGAAGGATGCGAAGGTAACCTTGGAAAGTCGCTCATCCTTACGACGCGGGTTGACTGTAAGCACGGTCCCACTCCTTGAGGCACTGCCTAAACTAAAAAAAGAAACATACTCTAAAGAAGTAGAAAAGGGGGATGGACAAAACAATCAGGCCTTGAGGAAGGAATGGGGAGCCTGGGGAGGATGGTCAGGTGGCAAATGTTTCTGGTAATCAGGAAGTGGCGTTAGGTCGGGCATGTCCCCCACAGGGGGATTTTGGACGAAAAATAATAATAAAAAAAACAAAAAAAATGATGATAATAATAATAAGAATACAAATAATAGGAATAATGATAATAATGATGATCATAATAAGAGTAGTAGTCGTAATAATAAAAGACAGCTCGTCCCCATACTATTTCTGGGCTATTGTTGCAGATTCCTCCTGTAAAGGGACGCGCCCGACTTGAAAGTAGCGCACCATCGTACATCACGGCCCTGTGCCATCAGCAACGGCAGCTCCGTCGGGCCACTGCGGGCCTGGCGTCTTGGAGCACTCTGTACAAGGGCTCGACGTCGCAATGGCATACCAGTCAATGCCACGTCGCGCAAATACCGCGCACTTGCTGTAGCAAGAGGCCGCGGGAATCCTGACAAGCTGCAAAATCGGAAGCCTACGGGTATCCCCAAATGGGGAGCCGTGCTTTCTGACTGTTTTTTTGTGGAAGAGGTAAACTGAACCCCTGGCTACACGCCGAGTGAAGGGCGAGGAGACGAATTGGCGCATCGGAGTCCTTAGACTCTGAGCGGGTTGACAGGCAGCAGAGACCCTCCACTACAAATCTGGGAATCCGAGGCCTTTCACGGCGGGGGCCTCGGACCTCAACACTTGATTGGGCACGGCATCGGACTGTGTGCTCCCTTGCATGCTCTGGAAGTCCAGCGAGCCAAAGTGAACGTACATGCTTCCCCTTGTGCTTCCCACATGCTCCCCCTCCCCACCTCATCTCCTCGTTCGCAACAGGAGCCACGCGAGTTCACTGCTGAATGCTCAGCACCAGGATGTGTCTAAGTTCATTATGCTGCCGGGCTTGCAGGAACGGAAATGCTACCAGCCAGAGGGCCGAGCTCGCAGGCGCAAACCTGCGAGTAATCAACGCCAGTAGATACAGTGTCATACCTCGTGAACGCCAGCAACTGCATCCGAAAAGCTATGCGCAAAAATCCGGGCACGCGGGGAGGGCATCGCCTTCCTGCGAACCTCGCATAGCTGCGCCTGCTTCTCCTGTATAATATTGTGACACCCGCCAGCAAAAGCGATTTCCCAAATCAGCTCTTGCACTGAAGGGGTCCTAACGGAGATTGGAAGGTTCCCGGGTTCCAAGGTCCCCGGTTCCGGGCCGAGTTCGGTTGGCGGCCAGGTTCCCGGGTTCTCTGATCTGGGTCTGGAGTTCCCAGCGCTATCAGGTTCCAGGGTGTTTTCGGCTTCTTGGTTGCGGCCAAGTGCCCAGGTCCTTGCGACCACGGTCATCGGTACATTATCACATGCGAGGGATGAGGAGAAAATAACATATACTAGAGAGCAAAAATGAAGGATGACATAGCTGAGCACCTGAAGTACATCCATACACGCATATCTGTATCTAAACTGATACCATGGCGAGTTGACGACGTGTTCTATAGTTGAATGCAGAGAGAGAGAGGGTGAGAGACAGAGAGACCGACTAGAGATAGAGTGGAGCAACGTAACGACACTAATGTATATACATACGCATAGACGGAGAGAGTAAGAGAGACAGGACTTCTATAGTAGAGAGTGGGAAAAGCGAGAGTAGTTCCCCAAACAGTGCTTGCTCTGAAAGGGTCCTGTACAAGGCTCGGCGTGGTCCTGTACAAGGGCTCGACGTCGCAATGGCATAACAATCAATGCCACGTCGCGCAAATACCGCGCACTTGCTGTAGCAAGAGGCCGCGTGAATCCTGACCAGCTGCAACATCGGAAGCCTACGGGTATCCCCAAATGGGGGGCCGTGCTTTCTGACTGTTTTATGAAGAAGAGGTAAACTGAACCCCTAGCTACACGCCGAGTGAAGGGCGAGGAGACGAATTGGCGCATCGGAGTCCTTAGACTCTGAGCGGGTTGACGGGCAGCAGAGACCCTCCACTGCAGATCTGGGAATCCGAGGCCTTTCACGGCGGGGGCCTCGGACCTCAACACTTGATTGGGGCACGGCATCGGACTGTGTGCTCCCTTGCATGCTCTGGAAGTCCAGCGAGCCAAAGTGAACGTACATGCTTCCCCTTGTGCTTCCCACATGCTCCCCCTCCCCACCTCATCTCCTCTTTCGCAACAGGACCCACGCGAGTTCACTGCTGAATGCTCAGCACCAGGATGTGTCTAAGTTCATTATGCTGCCGGGTTTGTAGGAACGGAAACGCTACCAGCCAGAGGCCAAAGGGCCGAGCTTGCAGGCGTAAAACTGCGCAGAATCAGCTCTCAGCGCCAACAATTGCAGCATCCGCAAAGCTATGCACAAAGATCCGGGCACGCGGGGAGGGCATCGCCTTCCTGCGGAGCTCGCATAGCTGCGCCTGCTTCTTCTGTATAATATTGCGGCACCCGCCAGCAAAAGCGATCTCCCAAACCAGCGCTCGCACTGAAGGTGTCCTCAGTAGCGGAGACTGCACGAGCAGGCGAATGTACGGCGCCGATCTCGGTATAGGCGGCTGGCTTCCCGGCGTCCCGGCTTCCCGGTTGCGGCTTCCTGGTTGCGGCCAGGTGCCCAGGTCCTCGCGGCCCAGCAGCATGTAAAGAGTGAGGATCATATACCAACATGCCAGAGACCCGAGATGAGAGATAACATAGCTGAGCACCTGGAATACCACATACACACATAAACACATATATATACACATGTGTGTGAAATGCAAACATAGCTAGTTGACGGCGCGTGTGTATATATAATATGCAGAGAGAGAGGGAGAGACAGACAGGGAGAGAGTGAGCGACAGAGAGACCGACTAGAGATAGAGAGTGACAGAACGTAAAGAGACGGATCCCGATATCTATATAAATATACACATAGACAGAGAGAGAGAGAGAGAAAACAAAAAAAGAGAGATAGAGAGAGAGAGAGAAAGGGGAACTATAGAGTACAGAGTGGGAAAAGAGAGAGAGAGAGTAGTTTCCCAATCAGTGCTTGCACTGAATGGGGTTCTGTTGGAGACTGAAAGGGTCGGCGATAATGACCAGGCCGATTTCGGTGGGCGGCCGGTCTCACTGGTTCCAGGTCTAGGTCCAGGGTTCATGGTACGTTGGAGCTTGTGGGTTCGAGAATTCTTCTGGGCGTTGGTGACCAGGGTCAGAATGCGACTAGGGTCGGATATGCAGTAGGAAGAGAAAGCAGATCAGAGGGCAGAAGAAAACATAGTTCAGAGGAGATGATCAATATTTCAGGTTCGAGAACAGAGGGTAGATCGGCCTGTGAGGGTATACAGAGTAAGCGTGTCGGTAACAGGTACGCGTACTTACGTGTAGACAGTAAATGCGAGGTGGCGATCGATAGAAGGAGAGAGGTAGAAAAAGAGAGTAGTTGCGACCACTGGTACACATAATACAATATTGAAGCGTGGTTTGGGAGGTCATGGCGATAGGGGGTACACGACTTATACACTGCAGAGCGAGCCATGAGGGCGTAGACAATACACAATCTGGATCTAGCTATATCTACGTTCGAACAGATTCAACAGAGAGCAGAAGAGAGAGAGAGAGAGAGAGAGACTGAGAGCGAGAGGGATATAGAGGGCAGGCGTGGAGTGCGCGCGAAAATGGTAAACCAAAGCCACCGATTGGGGGTTCTCTCGGGTGCTACGAATAAGATAGTGAAATCCACAGGCGAGGGCGTCTGCATCGCGCACCGCCTGGAGGCAGGCGGTGGCACATGCAACTCAGCCAGGCCGAGAGGCGTGAGGAGTCTCGGTGCCTCGTCTCCTCGGCCACTGCGCGGGATGCTCCTGCTCCATCCCGACGCCAGCCCCCGAGCGAGCGGGGCCGGCAGCGGCCGCATTCTCAGGCCCTCGCCCCCAGGTGTGACACCTCCCCCTTGGCGCCGCGGCACTTCCCTGAGCGGAACTTCTGGTAGGACATGCGGTAGGCCGTGAGCTCGTCGGGATCGATGATGCCCTGCGGGATGATGGCCAGGGACGGCCCCAGCGGCGCCTCGTCCTCCGACTCGTCGCTGGAGGCACTGCCGTCGCTGACCTCGACGAAGGTGTTCTTGACAGTGCACACCCAGCCCTGCCCGGCAGACTGCTGCACACGGCCGCCTGCCGCGGGCTCCGGCGCCACCGCGGCCGCGGCGGCCTCGGCGCACGAGCGGAGCTGCGCTGTCGCGGCGGCGTCCTCGGGGCACGCGAAGGGGTCCTCCACCACCTCGAGGCGGCGGAGGGCCAAGGCCCTCGCGGGCGCACCGCCTCGATCGGCGGGGACCCCGCGAGCCCAGGCGGCCCGCCGCGGGGCGGTCTGCGGCGCGGCGGCGCCGCCGCCCACGCCGCCACCGCCGAGCCTCCACCGCACCTCGGTCAACACCGCGCCGTGGTGCGCGCCGGTGGCCTCGAAGGCCCACGCGATGTTCTGTAGCTCGGCCCCGCTGGCCGACCGCAGGCCCGGCAGCATCAGGTCGCCGAGGCGGCGGAAGAGGCCTGCGTCTGCCCAGCCCGCCGTGGCGTAGGCCCAGGACGTCATCACCAGGCACCTGAAGCTGAAGTCCTCCGACACCTGGCCCGCAGCGCGGTCGAAGATGGGCGCCGCCAACCTCAGCACCTCAGGCTCGCTGCGCCCCAGCGTCGCGAGACCCCACAGCAGGCCGGAGAGCTCGAAGGCCTTGAAGAGGGGCGTCACCTCCTCGGACAGGGCAACCACCTTGGTCAGCAGGTGGAGGTCAAGGGTCTGCATTGTCGCCATGGCCCAGGTGACATTGCTCAAGGCCTGGGTCTTCGGCTGTGCCCCAGTCTCCCGCGCCCTGTCGAGAGCCGCGGCCGCCGCGGCCAGCAGCGCAGGCATCACGGGGTGCCCGCGGAGCTGGTGCAATGACTCTGGGTTGCTGCTGGACAGCCGGGCCAGCCTGTGCAGCGCCGTGGAAATGTTGACCAAGTTCATCTGCGGGATCAGGGGCTCGACGACAGCGACCATGGTGGGCAGATCACGCTCTGCGGCTGCGATAATGGTCTGATTGATCTTGGGGAATACGGCCCTCTTCGCCCACTGCCGGGACTGGGCGCTGCCCTGCCTGTTGAGCAGGGACCGACCGTACCGGCATTCCTGTAGGCCAACCGAGACATGCTCTGAGAACCAAAGAACGTTCGAAACACAAAAACAATGTTCTTAGAACCTAAAAACCGACGCATGAAAACAATGTGCTCTCAAACCCCAATGCTCTAAGAACATGTGGTGTAAACCAAAAGAAGTGCTGAGAACATACGGCGGGTTCTGGAAACCAAAAACCCACAAAAGTGTTCATCTCTTGGCACCGCATCTTTTACTTCCGCCGCCATCCCCCGGCTTTCACCCGGCCTTCCGCCGGCTTCGACCGGCGGAGGCGGCCTCGTTTTATTTCCGCCGACCTTGCGCCGCCTTCCGCCGCGGAAGATATGGCAGCTCCTTCGATCCTCGAAGGCCAGGCCCTTTCTGGAAAGGCCCCATTCGCTGATGGGCCTACGGTTAGGTCGGGCATGCCCTCCTGCAGGCGGAGCTTGGGAGGAAAACGAAACCAGACTCAGGAAATTGGCCGCAACATCGTCCCCAGACTATCTTCTTGACTACTCCTGCATCGAACGCGCCCTCCTCCTGCAGCTGGACATGCCCGACCTGAGCCTGCAGGCAGGCCGGGACGCTTCGCCACTGCTCGGCGCCTGGGTCCGTCGGGGCCGGCGGCGGCCGGGGTCGCCGCGGCGGCCAGCCTGCACATCGCGGC